AGCTAAGCTAGGCGAAGCCAAGATGAGATAAGCAACGCTAAGCTAAGGGGACGTAATTGGGGGAACCGCGGGGCTGATACTGGGGGAACCGCCCGGGGCGCTTTCCATTGCCTGGCCCCTTTCAGCCCAGAGAGTAAGAACCCTTCTAGGCAGAGCCTAGGTAGGGAATAACGAGAGCGAACACACACTGTCTAGGTCGATCCTTGCTAGACGCTGGATCTTTTTGTCCCGAGATCACCCTGGGGTTATATATTGTTCCCATCGTACTTAAGGACCACATCCCAGAAATGATTTCGAGTACCCAGAACAGTGTCGACACCGTGTCGGACGAGTGCCTCCCAGGTCCCGACGCGTGAAAACCATCGAGTTGTGGGGTACTTTTTCTGGTGTTCGGAATTATTTTTGGTGGTCAAGGCTAAAGTAGGTTGGAACATCATAAGGCCGAAGGCTCGACGTGCACACCGCGTCGTCTAGTCGGCCAGGGTCCTCGGTGTATATATCAACAAGTCATATAAACCCCAAGGGTTCGAAGCTCCGCGCGGACTTCTTGGATCTGGGCTGGGCCCCATCCCTGGCACCGCCAAGAGGGCCCAGTATGTTGGAACATCATAACCATAGGGCGCGAAGACAGCCCCGCTTCGCGCGTCGGGGCAGAGCCCGCCGGGGGGCTGGCCTTCTCCGCGGGTGCGGCGCGAGGGCGCGGCGAGGAGAGGCGCTCCGCGGCACGCGATGCGCGACGTCAGGTGGCCGTCTGCTCTTCCCTCCTCCTCCTCCTCCTCCTCCTCCTCCTCCTCCTCCTCCTCCTCTTCCACGTCCTCCCTCCTCCTCCTCCTCCTCCCTCCTCCTCCTCCTCCCTCCTCCTCCTCCATCCTCCTCCTCCTCCTCCTCCTCCTCCTCCTCCTATCCTCCTCCTCCCTCTCGCTCCCCCCCTGACCTCCTCTCTCTCCTCCCTCTTCGCCTCCTCTTCCTCTCTCCCTCCCCTCCTCCCTCCCCTCCTCCCTCCTCCTTCCTCTGCTTCCTCCTCCTGATCCTGCTCGCTGCTCCTGTCCTCCTCCTCCTCCGCCCTCCTCCCTCCTCCCTCCTCTTCCTCCTTCCTCCTCCTCCTCCTCCTCATCATCCTCCTCCTCCTCATCATCATCATACTCAGCAGTAGCAGCATCATCAGCATCAGCGTCATCATCAGCATCATCATCATCATCATCATCATCAGCATCAGCAGCATGGTCAACCTCATCAACATCAGCATCATCCTCGACATCATCGTCGTCAACATCCTCGCCATCAATACCAGCTTCAACATCATCATCATCACCATCACCATCATCATCATCATCATCATCATCATCATCATCATCATCATCATCATCATCACCATCACCATCATCATCATCATCATCAACACGAACAACATCAGCAGCATCATCATCATCCGTATTACCATCATCATCATCATCATCATCATCATCATCATCATCATCATCATCATCATCATCATCAACACCATCATAATAATCATCAATACCAGCATCCTCAGACTCGTCATCATCCTGATGATCATCATCACCAACACCATCAGCATCACCGTCATCATCATCATCATCATCAGCAGCAGCAGCATCATCATCATTATCATCATCATCAGCACCATCATCATCATCATCATCATCATCATCATCATCATCATCAATATCCTCCTCCTCCGCCTCCTCCTCCTGTTCCTCTGCTCTCCTCCCGTTGTCCTCCTCCTCCTCCTCCCTCCTCCTCCTCCTCCTTCTCCTCCTCCTCCTCCTCCTCCTCTTCCCCATCGTCCTCCTACTCGTCTCCCCTCCCTCATCCCTGTCCTCTTCTCTCCTCCCTCTTCCTCCTCCTCCTCCACCTCCTCGTCCTCCTTCTCCTAACCTCCTTCTCCTCCACCTCCTCCCCCATCGTCCCTCCTCCGTCCTCTCCTCCTCCTCCTCCCGCCTTCTCCTTTTCCTCCTCTTTCCTCCTCTTTCTTCCTCCTCCTACTCCTTCCCCTCCTCCTATTCCTCCTCCTCTCTCCTCCTCCTCCTCCTCCTCCCCCATCTTTCCTCCTTCCCGCCCTCCCTCCCTAACCCCCTCCCTCCCACCCCCCCTGCCCCCTCCTCCTCCTCCCCTCCCCCTCCTCCTCATCCTCTTCTCTTGCTCCTGCCTCGCTCCTACCTCCTCCTCTCCTCCTAAGCCTTCTGCTGCCCTCCTTCTCTGGCTCACTCCTCCTCTTCTCCCCTCCTCCTGCTCCTCCTGCTCATCGTCGCTCCTCCCTCCTCCTCCTGTCTCTCCCTTCTGCCTCTCCTCATCATCATCATCCTTCGTCCTCCTCCCCTCCTCCTCCTCATCCTCCCCCCTTCCTCCTCTCCATTTCCTCCTCCTCCTGCTCCCCTGCTCATCCTCCTCCTCCTCCTCCTCCTTCCTCCCCCTCCCTCCCCCGTCCTCCTCCTCCTCCCTCCTCCTCCTCCTCCTCCCCTCGTACCCTCCTCTTCCTTCTTCCTCCTCCTCCTCCTCCACCTTCTCCTTCTCCTCCTCCTCCTCCTCCTCCGCCTCCTCCTTCTCCTCAGCATCATCATCAGCAGCAGCAGCATTAGCCGCATCACCAACAGCAACATCACTATCATCATCGTCACCATCATCATCAGCAGCCTCATCATCCGCAGCATCTTCATCACAATCAGCATCATCGTTATCTTCTTCATCATCATCATCATCATCATCAGCATCATCATCAGCAGCAGCAGCGTCATCATCATCATCATCATCATCATCATCATCATCATCAATATCGTCATCATCACCATCAGCATCATCATCATCTTCAACATCAGCAGCACCATCATCAGCTTCAGCGTCATCATCATCATCATCAGCAGCATCGTCATCGGCATCATCATCATCATCATCATCATCATCATCATCACCAGCGTCATCAGCATCATCCTCATCAACAGTATCGTCATTATCATCGGCATCATCAGCATCATCAGCATCATCAGCATCAACATGATCATCATCATCGTCGTCATCAGCATCACGATGAGCATCATCATCATCACCATCATCAGCATCATCATCATCATTAGCATCATCATCATCATCATCATCATCACCATCATCATCATCATCATCCTCCTCCTCCTCATCATCATCATCATCATCATCGTCGTCGTCATCAGCATCAGCATCATCGTCATCATCCCTCCTCCCCCTTCTCCTCCATCTTCCTCCTCCTCCTCCTCGTCCACCTACTCGTTTCTCCTCCTCTTCATCGTTCCCCTCCTCCTCCTCCTCCTCCCTCCTCATCCTTCCTCCTCCCTTCTCCCCTTCCCTCCTCCCTCTCTTCCTCCTTCTTCTCCTCTTTCTCATCCTCCTCCTCCTCCTTCTCCTCCTCTCTCCTCCTCTTCCTCCTCTCCTCCTCTCTCCTCCTCTCTCCTCCTCCTCCTCCTCTCTCCTCCTCCTCCTCCTCCTCCTCCTCCTCCTCCTCCTCCTCCTCCTCCTCCTCCTCCTCCTCCTCCCCCCTTCCCTCCTCCTCCTCCTCCTCCGCCTCCTCCGCCTCCTCCTCCTCCTCCTCCTCCTCCCACCTCCCTCATCCTCTTCCTATCTTCCTCGTCTCTCCTCATTATTCCTCCTTCCTCCTTCCTCCTCCTCCTCTCCTCCTCCTCCTCCATCCCCTCCTCCTCCTCCTCCTCCTCCTCCTCCTCCTTCTCCTCGTCCTCCTCTTCCTCCTCCTCCTCCTTCTACTCGTCCTCCTCCTCCTTCTCCTCCCCCTCCGTCTCCTCCTCCTCCTCCTTCTCCTCCTCCTCCTCCTTCTCTTGAGCCCCGAACGCTGTCGGGCCTCAAGAGACGGGGGTAAATGCAAGCCGTCGCTCGCCGACGGCGCCATCGCCGCTGCGGTGCGGGGCTCGTCAGCCCCGCTTGGCCGGCAGGACGGGGTACTTCACCTCCCGGCCCGCGCTGAAGCGCTACATTCGGGAGACGAGCGCGGTGCTCCAGGCTCCCCTGCCTAGAGGAGGGCTCTTACGGAGGAGTAGGAGGGAGGGGGGAGAGGACATGCAGCCAGGCTTCGAACATACTCCCACCAATTGCCTGTCGTGAGTTTCTCACGGCGCGAGGATGTCAGGGTAATCGTCCTCCCGCCCTGTGGTTCCCTCTCCGTGTCCTACCAAGAGGGAATAGAAGGGAGAGGAGGAGGAGGGAGAGAGGAGGAGGAAAGTGGGGAGGGGGCGGATGGGGATGGAAGAGGAAGAGGAGGGGAAGAGGAAGAGGGGGGAGGAGGAGGAGGAGGAGGAGGGGAGGAGGAGGAGGAGGAGGAGGAGGAGGAGGGGGATAAGGGACGGTAGGCGTAGGAGGAGGGAGGAGGAGGAGGAGGAGGAGGAGGTGGAGAAGGTGGAGGAGGAGGGAGAGGACGTGGAGGAGGGAGTGGAGAGAAGGCCGGCAGATGAGGAGGAGGCGGAGGGGGGGTAGAGGCTGGAGGCGACGAGCGTAGAGGACGAGGAGAGGAGGGACAGGGGAGGACGAGGAGGAGGACTCTCGGCACTCCCGCGAGAGGTGGTGCGCCAGGTCGCCGCCGCGCACCACATGGCGGCGCAGGGGGGCGGCCCGCCGTCCGGCCAGCTGTCGGGAGCGCCCCGCCGGTTCGAGGAGGAGGAAATGGAGGAGGAGGTTCGTCGGCAGGAGTTTCGTCGAGGAGGAGGAGGTTCGATGAGTAGGAGTTGGAGGAGAAGGTTCGAGGAAGTCGGGAGGCCCATTGTTGCGAAGAGGAGGCGGAGGAGGAGGTTCGTCGGTACAGTAGGAGGTTTGTCGAGGAGGAGGAGGAGGTTCCAGGAGGAGGAGGAGCAGGTTCGAGGAGGAGGAGGAGGAAGAGGAGGAGGAAGACGACGAATAGGAAGAGGAGGAGGAGGAGGAGGAGGAACGGCGGAGTGAGGGGGTTCGAGGAGGTAGGGAGCCCCATCGGTTCGAGGAGGAGGAGGAGGCGGATGAGGGGTTTGGTCGCTACGGTAGGAAGTCCGTCGAGGAGGAGGCGGAGGAGGCGGAGGAATTTCGAGGAGGAGGCGAAGGAAATTGAGGGTGTTGATGATGCGCCCTGCCCGTAGTGCCCTCTACCAAGGCTCGCGCCTCGGCCAACGCCGAGGCACATCAGCTGGGCCAATGTCCAGGACACGAAGCGAATCCGCCAAAGCGACGAGGCCAACGCGAGCCACCCGATGGAAGCCAGCATCGAGCCACGCTAGCCGTGGCAAGAGAGAAGACGCAAAGGCAGGCGGCTCAGCCACAGGCCTTACGGCGGGACGTCAAGCTCCAGCACTCCGATCTCCCTCCAAGGCGCATCGAAGATCGCGAATGACCTGATCCAGCGGCGCCCCGATGGTTGGGGGAGTAAACCCATGCACTGACATGGTTTTTCCAGCGTTGATAGGGCCCCGAAACAACCAACCTCTCTGCGACAGGGCGCGTGTAGCATCAGTACTCGCGCGCCCGCGCCGCGGGCGGTGCCTGCGCCTCCAGTCGAAACCACGCGAAACGTTAATTCCAAGTGACGGTGCCGCGCACCCACTCGCAACTGTCAGCACCGTGTGTCCTATGTCTTCGTCCATTGGCTCGACAACGTCGGTGAATGGATTTTCGCCTCCTTAGCTAGGACGAAGCCATGCACCGATGTGATTTGCGGGCTTCCTACGGGCAGGGCCACGGGGCTATCCGGGTCTGGCGGGGTTCCCTGGCCTCCGCATGCCGCGTGCGCGCAGTTTACGTAGGCGCGGCCGAATCGCGGTGGCAGGGCGCCGGGGATGTTGGGGGCCTGTGCATTTATCTGTCATGGCCTCCCTACGTCTGTTGTCCCTGCATGCTACGGAATCGCCTACGCGGTGGACATCCCTGCGACCATGCTGGTGAATGGAAATTTTCCGCCTGGATGGCGTCTGCGATGTAGAGCGCGCGATGCCTCCTTGTCAAAACCACGCACTGCGCCGTGGTAATGTCGAAGTCTGGCTGGCACGAGGAGCCCGAGCAGGGCCATCCACGATCCGATTCGATGCCATTCGATTCGCCGGCTGGGGCCGCGATTCCAATTCGATCCGCGTTCGTTCTGACCGTTGGCATAGGCCGGGGCCAGCAAAAGCCCGGCGCGGCGATCCGATTTCGATTCGATTAGGGACGATTCGTTGGCGATCTGGTCCGGTTCCGTTCCGCTGCGATCTCACGATTCGATCCAGCTCAGGCCTGCCAAGTGCTGAGCTTTCTTCTTTCTCCAGGGCCAGAACGGGGGTCGCGTCCGGCTCCCCCTTCTGCTTCGGCTGCTCGTCCGTGACGCCTTCCCCGCACGGCCAGACTTCTGGGCCGCGGCTCAGACGCCTGCTTGGGCGGAGGGGCCCATGGCTCCCCCCAGCCCTCTGGGCGTTAGGTTTATGATGGTCCAACCTACTTTAGCCTTGGCCACCAGAAAGAATTACGGGCACCAAGAAAGTACCGAAACTGGAGGGGGTTCACGTGCCGGGCTCTGGGAGGCCAAACTCGTTCGACACCGTTTCGATAGTGTCGGGGTGCTCGAAATTGTTTCTGGGATGTGGTCCGTAAGCACGATGGGAGCAACATAAGCGCAGGTGATTTAACGAGCGTTGTCGTCTCTCTGCCAATAGTTCTCCTTGTCCTGCTCGGGAGAAGGGTTGACCCGTTCACGTGCCCTCTCCCCTGGGCCTGGGAGGGGGGGGCGCTCGCCTCCAGCTGGCCCGCGGACGAGCTTCTCTCAGCTTGCAGGGGGCGTCCCTTCTTGTCCTCCTCCACGGTCGCGGCTAGCAGCAAGCTTGTCTCCAACCACTTTTGCTTCCTTCTGCTGCGGCAGCGTCTCCAACGGGGCAACGCGCCCGAAGATCTTGCGGCTGCTGCGGAAGCCGGCATGCGAGGAGTTGAACCTCTAGCAGTGCCACCTCAGCATGTCGTTCATGCTCGACCTTCTCCGCCGAGGTCTTCCAAGGCTCCTTCGTCTTGTAGCTGTCCTCCGCGGCCTGGATGATCTTCTCCTGGTCGTCCGCCTCCGCCTACAGTGGAGGCCCATGCCAAGATACACCCTGCTTGCCTCCACGTTCCCACACCAAATATCCTTGGACGTCCTGGGTTCTTAGGGTTGGATTTCTTGTGGAAGGTTCTTGTCGTCCGCGGCCGGGATGATCATCTCTTTTCGGGGCCCCATTAACATACACCACCGCCATGCCGATTCCTCCTCCCTCCTCTACCCTCCTCTTCCTCTCCTCTTTCATGGGAGAGGAAGGGGGTGAGGGAGGTGGTGGTGATGTGTATGTTTGTGCCCCCCATCCTGGTCGTCCGCCTCCGCCGTGGTCGTCTCCTCTTGGCTCGGGCCAGGCACCGCTGAGCTCTGATTCCGCGGCAGGCTCTGCAAAGCAGCCGCCGCCATCGAGGCCCAGGGCAGCTCGAGGTCGCGGTCGAGGGGCTGGGCCAGCGTCACTCAAGGGGTCCCAGGACACACACACACACAAATAAGTATACACAGATCCCAGGATTCCCAATTTTTCTTTGGTTTTCGTTGTCCCCCACTTCTCATATTTCCTCATATTTTCCTGGGAGTCGCCGGTCAATTGCGTCTGTGTTTTGTCCTCTACCCAGTCATCTCTTGACACTGCTTCTCTTGAGGTGGTCCTCCCACGAGAGGTCGGAGGTGACGCGGTTCGCCCCCCTTCTATCGGAGGTGGATAAGGTACCCATACTTCAGTGCCTTCGCCCGTTTTCCCCTTTGTGGGCCTCCTTGGAGGCCCTCGTCGCCACCGCTGGAGGTCCAGGGGGTAGTGGTATCGGTACCTTTTGTTTTTTCCCGTTCTTCCTCTCGAACTCACTCCTGTTGTGCAGCCTGGCCTTCTCGGCGAACTCCTCCTGTTGTGCAGCCCTGCCTTCTCGAGCGCCTTCCGCTTGGCCCGCAGCTCGAGCCTGTGCTCTTTGGGCAAGCGCTACGCCGACGGTGTGGGTGCCCGCGAAGCCCGGTCGACCTCCGAGGCCCCCGAGCCCTCTGAGCCCTCCGAGTCCAGCACCTCGCCCTTGGTGTCCTCGCTCGGGCGTACTTGATGCCAGCTCCCACCTGGCTCCTGGGCACGCCTCGGGGGCGTGCCAGGCGCTCCCCTCTGGCGCGTGCGCTCCTCCTCCGGGACGCGTCCACGCTGCCCTGGGCGGCCGCCGTGGAGGGGGACGACCCAGACACGCGACGTCCTGACTTTTTCAATGCGGGGCCCCTGGAAGTCCCAAGCACTTCCCCCGGGACCGGTTTCTCACCCCGAGTCGTGTTGTTTAACGGTCCCGAGGCCCGGCGAGGGCCCCCAGGGGCCAAACGCGGCCCCAAACCTTGCCGTCTCGATTCTTGGTTCGACGCGATCATGTCGGGGGACCGCAAGGGGGAGACATCCCAGGCTGGCTGGAGTGACGTGTGAAGTGTTCGACCCTGCTGCTGAAGCGAGCGAATCTGAGGCTGGTGACCGGGCCGAGCCCGACTTGTCGGCTCAGGCCCGCAGGCCGCTTCGGGAGGAGGGTGAGCACGCCCCAGACCAGCAACCCCTTTCAGACAGCTCGGACTGACCTGCACCAGGCGGGTAATCTAGTCCGAGTTGTTTCTTAACTCAACCCGAGCTGGCTCGGGTTCAGGGCGCCTGTCAAAAAAAAAAACCGAAGCCTTCGGCGCACCCTCGCAGCCTGCTGCCCAGCTCCTGGCCGACGGCCGCGCGGCCGCTGGTCGTGGCGCCGCGCGACCGCCCTCGAGGGCGCAGTCGTCGGGGCCCTGGGGCGGCAGGCCGCCGTGTGCCGGTCGGGCGTGGGTCGACGGCCGTCGGGCGTCGTTCGTCGGTCGTCGTGAGGAGGAGGAGGAGGAGGAGGAGGAAGAGGAGGAGGAGGAGGAGGAGGAGGAGGAGGAGGAGGAGGAGGAGGAGACGAGGAAGACGAGGAGGGACGACGAGGACGAGAATGGGGGGGAGGAGCAGGAGGAGGAGGAGGAGGAGGAGGAGGAGGAGGAGGAGGAGAAGGAGGGAGGAAGAGAATGGAGGAGGAAGGAATAGGAGGAGAGGAGGAGGAGGAGGAGGAGGAGGAGGAGAGAAGAGGAGGAGGAGGAGGAGGAGGAGGAGGTGGAGGCGGAGGCGGAGGAGGAGAAGGAGGGAGGAGGGAGGAGGGAGGAGGAAGGATGGAGGAGGAGGAGGAGGAGGAGGAGGAAGAAGAGGAGGGAGGAGGAGATAGGCACGTCAATGGCGCTTATGCTGATCCAGCTCCGACTGCCATGGCTCCCCGCCGCTTCGCCCTCTCGACGAGACCTGCGCAACGCCCGAGCAACCTCGGGCCGAAAAAGCTTTGAGGAGGAGCCTGGAGGAGGAGGAGGAGGAGGAGGAGGAGGAGGACGAGGAATGGGAGGAGGATGATGATACTGATGTTGATGATGATGATGATGATGATGATGATGATGATGATGATGATGCTGATGCTGATGCTGATGCTGATGTTGATGCTGATGCTGATGCTGATGCTGATGCTGATGCTGATGCTGATGCTGATGTTGATGCTGCTGATGATGATGATGATGATGATGTTGATGATGATGATGTTGATGATGATGATGCTGCTGCTGATGATCATGATCATGATGCTGCTGCTGATGATGATGCTGATGATGATGATTATGAACATGATAATGATGATGATGATGATGATGATGATGATGATGATGCTGATGCTGATGCTGATGCTGATGCTGATGATTATGATGATGATGATGATGATGATGATGATGATGATGATGCTGATGATGATGATGATGATGATGATCATGATCATGATCATGATGATGATCATGATCATGATCATGAGGAGGAGGAGGAGGAGGAGGAGGAGGAGGAGGAGGACGAGGAATGGGAGGAGGATGATGATACTGATCTTGATGATGATGATGATGATGATGATGATGATGATGATGATGATGATGATGATGATGATGATGATGATGATGATGATG